GTAGAGAGATGTATTTGGAATCCTTTAAAAGGTACATCTCAAGGGCAGATGCTGAAGTTATTGAGAAAGCACTTTCGCAAGGATTATCCTTGGATGATGATGATTTTAAAGAAGCTGTAAGCCTTCGACTGCGGAAAGGTTGTCAAAGAGGAGAATCTATCTGATATTTTGATTGAATTGGCTCATAAAGAGCTTGTTCAGAAGCCAAAATATGTTGCAGATTGTTGGGAAACTATCCTTTCAAAGATTAAGATGTTTTTTCCAACAGTTGATACTTTGGAAATGCATTTCTCAAAGTTGAAACCTACATCAGCAAGGATTTGTAGAATGTTTATTGCAAATCCAGAAAGTTCAGCAGAATCAGAAAGTATGTCGCATTTGAAGAGATATGTTAAAGGATTAGATGATTCTTTGTTACGTAAATTTCTCAGACTTTGTACTGGTTCTGATGTTGTCATTGTTGAAGGTATTAAAGTCACATTTACATCACTCGCTGGAGCAGGGAGAAGGCCTATTTTTCATGCATGTGGCTGTGTAATTGAGCTACCTTCAACGTATGAAGACTTTTGCGATTTTAGGCAGGAATTTACTAACATCTTGAACCAGGTGGATATAGAAATGGACCTGGTATAGACGAGAATGTTTATTAATTCTTTAGACATATTATTTAATGTTAAGGACTAACTTGTATGTATACATACAATGATACAACTACATGCACATATGGAGTTATTGTTCAATTGTTTATTTTGAGCGTAATTTTGTTTTACAACTTAGTTTGCTATATTCATATATCAACCAATATTTGTTTGAAAATTGTTGCCAATGTACTGCCTGTTACCTAGTATTTCTTCAATAAGATTTACCGTTTGTAAATATGCCATAACACCGTCTCCTGATTCAGCATTAATGTTTTCTTTTACAAAGGAAATGCCATCATTGTTCAAACCAGTATCAATCACAGGAACTGTCACTTGGTAATCTGCACAATCAACATCAAGTTGACCTTCATTGTCAACACCATAAGCTTGCATCTCTGCTTCATTTGAAAAGCTATCAACACCAGTGTAACCTGAATTTAAACTTTTCAGTACACCTTGAGTAAATAACTGAATTGGCGAACGATTGTGCTCTGATGAGAGTGGGTGGTGTTGCCATTGCTCAACAAACTCTTCAAGTGATTTGTTTATTCTTCTTTTAAATATGAAATGAAGTGCAAACATGTGCACTTCGTTTAAAGGATCTAAGAGTCCTGAATTCTCCAAATCATTGAAAATAGATGCGTAAAAGCACAACACTCCAGCATACACATCTCTGTGTATTCTTTCAACTCTGCAGTTATGAACAGAGCTACCAGTAATGATACTACCCCGATTTAAACCTCTTTGTTCCAGCATATAAGTAGCAACTCCGAAATTCTCCATGCCATGGTCACTACGAACTCTTGACGGCAGTCCATACTTTCTCACTCCTTCCTTAAATTTTTCTAGGACTGCGTTGCTTCTATTGTTATCTGCACAGTGCACATAAACAAGTAATCGCGAGTAACCATCAATGCAGCAGTGCACAACAAACCGATATCTTATTAACTTATGATTGCCGTCTATGTGCCATAAGGCGTTTGGGCAAGGAACTGAGTATGTTCGTCGATAGATAACTGGTCTCCATCTTAATGTAATACCAATTGGATCTACTCGCCTTAAACTGTCTCGTACTTTTCTTCGTTGGACACGTATGTGTCTACCTCGCAAGGCTCCCACCAGCCTACGCTCACCAATATTTGGAGTTAGTTTTTGTATATCTTTAACGACACTATCCAAATCTTCACTGGATATTTGAGACCATTGTAAGTCATAGTCTACATTTAGACCAAACTCTTCTCGCTTTCTTGTTATTGTAGTTATACTAACACCTAAAATCTTGGCAATGGTACGCCAATTAAAGTGTAAAGATCTTAAAAATTCCAGTTGTTCTTTACTGACTTCAATTTTAGGACGACCAGGACCATTACCTAACTTTTTTTTTCGGCATGAAAAACCCAAATACGTTGTACTTGGCCGTTGGCGACATAGAATTCCGCATATTTCATCAACATTTTGCATAAGTAAGACTAGACGAGTCTTTAGTGAGTTAAATTCCCCCTCGTGTGTTCTCGTTATTTCTGAGATGTGATCAGTCAACATGCGTAACGTTGCTGATGCCTCTACCAGTCGCCTAGTTAAAGCCTCCAAGATCTCCTCGTCTGCACTTTCTAAACTTTCGTCAAGATGGTAGACTTGACTAAATATAGATTTAAGTTCGTGAAAGAAAATATGCAATCCTCGCTCATTGCGCTCTCTCGGATGATTTACACTACCACTTGTCGCCATTTTGTTTTATCTTAATGAGCGCCATTGAGCTCTATTATAACTGGAGGGGAAAAGGGGCCTGGGCCTCGTGGTCAAAAACATGGCGGTAATGGCGGATTTTGGTTGTCAAAACTTCCACTTTGAGAAAATTTTTTAACATTCGCTCCCTCCCGAAACGGATCTCTATTACTGCTCATAGTAATGACAACCAGCGAAAACAACCACGATACCGTAAGCATAAAATATTGAAAATAATGCTTCAGGTTTTTGTGAAATAGACACACACATTTAAATGAAGTAAATCTACTGTAAAATAGCGTATATGTTTTCAAGTAATGCTTTAGCTATATTAGAAATAAATATCAAACGGCAATCTTTACACTGTCAATGTGTTGTTAAGCTTTAATGCATAATCCCATGCGCAATACTTGTGTTTTTGACTGTTTGTGAACAGCTTGGTGCAACTGTCTTTCTTGAATAGATGGGTAAATCTCCGTTAAAATGTCCAAAAAGGAGTTAGAAAAGTTAGCTTACCCCTACGACTTAAGTCGACTGGAAATATATTATAAGTAGGTATGTAATTTTTTTGAGTTTTTTTGGTAGGATTGATTCTGGGTGTCTTATAAAGTATTATGATATTCTGATAAATCTACTGAGAACTTATGAGGAAAATATCTTGAACGAGGAGAGCAAAAGAACGAAATTCCGAAATTCTATAATCATGTTGCTGGTTCTGTTTTGAGCCAAGATATTAGAAACTGGATTGTTATTGACAACCATGGATATACTACTGAACAGAACTACATTAATTTCCCATTGAAAATACTATTTCTTAAATCAAAGTGCATTGGATTCTCTGACATAACACTTTTCTTACTGCTGCATGAAGGCAAACCTGTTTAAATAATTATAATGTAGGTGAAGATATTTAGCATGTTGTATAATTGATATTATACAGACATTATTTATAATATTATGGCTTTGTGTAATGTATGTCAAGAACTTATTATTTCTCAAAAATGCTAACCTTCTTGCACTACTTTTCTTTTGTGTCCTTACAAATTACTGTTACCTATACTAATTTTTTTTAGGTTCAAACAACTTGACAAATTTTTGAATTTTACATTATGCCTTTAAATTTTTCTTTTTGTCTTTTGGTAAAAATATCAGTGGATGACTTAAAAATCAAGTTTATCTAAAATAGTATTTTGTACAAAGTAACTATACATAATTGGAAAAGTCTCATGTTGAAGACAGATGTCGCTTCTTTTACTAGATTGCTACTCTTATTCTTTTAAATGATATCGTAATTGTTCAAAAGAAATAAAAAGTTCTTTGTCATCAATTTTTGCTTCTTCCACATTCAACTTCATTGCAACCAATGCATCTTATTTGAATTTTTAATCACCTGGAATTGAAAAACGTATGGATTTTGTCAGATGATGCAGTGCTGTATTTAATGTTTCATGCATGTCATGATTAGCTTTTCTTGAGCAAATATTTCAAGGTAGGAGCAAAATTTGGCACATCATTGAACAAAGTAGTTTTTATCTTTATTTTGATGTACTAACCTGTTTACTACACTGTGTAACAAACAATTCATTTACAGAAACACGAGATGGCATTTATAAAACTTTTAGCATAAAGCAAACCTTTACACACCATCATCATGATTGTCCATAATCTGTCAAATTGTCCAGGCTAGCTGTTTAATACAGGTATTTTTTATTGTACGACATGTACCAAAGAGCTCATCAATTAATCCTGGACTGCATTTGATTTCAATACAGCTCTGTCCTTAAAGGGGAACTCCACCCAAAAATAATGTTGGTCTTAAAACTTTGTCTGTCCCGTGAAAATAAATATGCGGCAATTTTTTTGTTTGTTTGATTCAATATTTTCACAAAAAATGAGTTGAAATGCTGCAGCTAGGGCATCCGGTGCGTGGGAGCAGAAATATGTCAGCGGCTTGTATTGACGTCATATCGTCAATTGCTCCTCAAAGCTTTATGTAAAGTCATTGCACAGTCATAATAAACTTGCGTCAAAATGCTTCTCCTAATCACAAAATGTTTCTTTTCGAAACGTCAGAATTTATTTATTATACACAAGCAACTTTTATAGCTTACATGCAAGTATTGAGCTGGTTATTTGTATTCTGTTTTAATAGAACGGTTTCACATCCATAAAGGCCATTATCGCACAGTTTCCGCACTACATATAGAACTTGAATGTCGATTAATATTATTTTTTTAAAAAATACGAAGGTTTCTTTGTGTGGAAACTGTGCGTAATGCCGTTTGCTTGTCCTCCGAATTCAACCTTAACAACAGTTTCCACTGTTGTGAAACCAATCTATTGCCCTTAATAAACATTGAATAATAATAAACATGGTTGTGTAACTCATTACGGTTAGAAAATAATCCTACTTAAAACCATTGTAAAAATAGCCTTTCGTGCATAGAATTAAGGTGTAGTTTCCTTGACGTAAAGTAAGAACTTATAGTTTCCTAATTATTGTACATAATTTCCCTTTTTAAGTCACATTTGGGACGAAAATTTATTTCCTACGCACGAAACCATTGGTATAAATAGAAGTAAAATTAGAGACTACGCAGTAGAGTTGTTATTGGATAAGAAAAGTCGTACTTCTTTCTTAATCAAAATTCTATAACTAAGAATCAGAGTGCAGATCAATTTGGACGAACTAAACGAATTCTGCAACAATGGTCAACTGTTGTGTTCCGGGTTGTACAAATTACTCGTCGAAGTCAAAATCTTCAGGTGTTAGTTTCCACCTTATTCCGAAAGACCCCTCCCGTCAAAAGGCATGGATTGCTAGAATACGGAGAGAAAATCTACATCCTCTCCAATACTGTTACGTTTGCAGCGAGCACTTTGCTCCCGATTGTTTTGAATCGGACCTGAGACAGAAACTTACACCATGGCAACCTTTAAAAAGGCGACTGAAGCGGGATGCAGTACCATCGATCTTTTCATTTGGCCCTCAACCCAGTAAAAAGCGTCTGTCTAGCGAGCATCGTACACAGAAACGTCAGGCTGATCAAGACAAGGAGGAAGTTAGTAAAAGCATTTCTTGTAAAAGCATTTTAATCAAGAAAAAGTTATAGCCTAAAGTATATTCTAAATATTTCTATTTTTTCTATTTTCAGCTTTCAAATATTTTAGAACAATGTTCCTCCACAAGTACAAATGTTTTCTCAGTGGTTGAGCCTGAAAAAAATAACAGTTGTGATTTGGGTGCGTCTGACAGTCCTGAAGCATTGCCAACTAATTATTGCAAGCCAGAAACCAAAGATGCATCAACACAGTGTTCATTTGTTGTGAGGAGTTTACATGCCATGGAAGTCCAAACTACACTGTCGATGCTGAATACTGTGGATGCAGAGGTTCAAGTTGAGGAATCTTGCTTTGAAAGCAACACCTCAATTTATGAACAGTTCTATTCTTCTGATTTTGAAGAAGCATCATCACAGATAACAGAAGAGTCTTGTGATAATGTTCACGACGACTGGTTCACTCAGGTGTCAGAAGACTCTACAACAGATGATGAAGCAATCCAAATTGAACCCCAAGAGGAAAAGAAATATATAGTTTTCAAGTCCTGTCTGATTAGTCTTCTTTCAAAGTGTCTTTCTTGTGGAGAGACAGTAATTGAATGTGAAGAAAACACTGTAGGTAGTTTGCTATCATTTAATCTTTTTTGTATAAATGGTCATCACACAACATGGACATCTCAACCACTCATAAGGAATGTCCCAGCTGGAAATTTGCTTTTGGCTGCATCAACTTTATTTAGTGGAAACACTTATGAAAGAATCAGCCAATTTGCATCTTTCATGAATCTCGAATTTATTGGAAAACCAGTTTTACAGCTTTCAAAAGCAGTATCTTTTCCTGTTGTTGACAAAGGTTGGAAAGAGGAGAAATCAGCTGTTATTGCCGAAGCTAAGAAGTCTGGTAGTCTTAATGTGAATGGTGATGGTCGATGTGATAGCCCAGGGCATAATGCCAAGTATGGTACTTATACAATGATGGCTGACTCTGGTAAGATAGTAACTTTTAATGTTGTGCAAAGTACTGAAGTCAGTTCTTCTAATGCTATGGAGAAAGAAGCATTTGAAAGATGTCTGTCTGAAGTTGAAAAGCTAGTTCCTGTTAAGCGAATAACAACAGATAGACATGTTTCGATTGCCAGTGCTATGAAAAACAAACACCCTCATATTGATCACCAATATGATGTGTGGCATTTGTCTAAATCTGTCACAAAAAAACTAACAAAGAAGGCTAACATTAAGGAAATGATGACTTGACCCATTGGATTAAGTCCATTTCTAATCATCTTTGGTGGTGCTCTGCAAGTTGTAACAAGAATGCAGAAGAATTGGTGGAAAATGGAAGTCTGTCCTTAACCACATTTCCAACAAGCATTTCTGGAAGGGGAACACATATTTTCATCAATGTTGCCACCAACAATTAACAGAAAAAGAAACAAAGCAGAAGAAGTGGTTATCTCCTACTTCACAAGCATATATCGCTGCAGAGAAGGTGATATGTGACAAGAGGCTTCTAAAAGACCTGCGGAAGCTATCTGAGTTTTGTCACACAGGAGAGTTGGAGGTTTACCATTCCCTTTTACTGAAATATTGCCCAAAGCGAGAGCATTTTTCATTTCCTGGGATGGTAGCCCGCACTCAGTTAGCAGCATTAGATCACAACAACAATATTAAACGTGATAAAGCAGTTATTAAGTCAGGGACAAACAAAGGGCAAGACCGTTACAAAATGATTTTTGCTAAAACACAGAAGCAATGGGTTGTAAAAGCAATGAAAGAAAAGAAAGAGTACCTTTACATTGATAAACTACTTGCGGAGGTAGTGAATGCATGCAAAACTGAGGAGATTGAACTTGTACATCATGGCGAGAATCTTCCAAAGAACATTTCTAAATCATGTCCACCCAGGAAAGAAGTACTTGTAAAGGAACATCAGTCTAGATTTGCATAAAATGTCAGTGGTGATGTTAGCTATGGCAATAGGTTTTGCCTTACCCATATAATATGACGTTGAATCAGTGAAGACAACCTTTGTACTACTTAAAAAATGTTCATTCTTAAATATTAACATAGCAAAACCTTTTGCTATAGCTAGTTTTACCACTGCATTACACAAACTATTCATGTAATTAATTATAGTTATATTATAACCAGTGTAATAGCCAAGCCACATTTATAATCATTTCTTTGTAAATCTGTTTTTTTTTGTAATAAATTAATAATAATAAATGTGCATAGCATGACCTATAAATGAGCTGGTTTTGCCACTTTAATATTGACATACAAAGTAATTGTAATGGGTATACCTATATCATAATAAAATACTTCATTCATCAGCATAGTGGAAGCCTTCAAATTGAAATTCCTCTGCAAGGCCAGGTGGAGGAAATGTTTCTCTAATGCGAGTAACTGCACATGATGGCAAGATGACTCTCACTTCTCTACCCAAGACACCCCAGCACCATCTTGCCAACTGTCTATATGCAATATGGCGGTACAGTTTGTCTTCGGGCCCATCATATGCTGCCTCATATTGCTGCTTGTACAGGTACCAAGCTGTTTGTAAAACCCACCTGTTAAGACAAACAGGCTCAAAACCAGGATGTTGTGTAATGCACAAAGGGACTTCGGTGGTCTCATTCGTTTCTACTGCCTCTAAATTTTTGTCACAAATATTGGAAATCTCTTTGCAGCATAAACATTCCTCGTTATTATCCATTATTTGGCAGTTACCACATTGACACCTGAATATGTTAAAAGAAAGGATCTTGAAAAGTAAATGTCAAAACTTCAACAAAAATTTATCTTACAATAAAAACTTTAAAATCTAAAGTATTATGTGCGTGTGGACGTGGTCAACTTCAAAAACTGAAAACGTACTTTTGAGATAGAAACAATGGTCTAGAATAATATAACATTTTACTACCCACCATTCAAGATTGTCACGCCGAGATTCATCGTCAATATACAAAAATTCCTGTTCTTCGTTATCCTCAAACTGGTGAGCTTCTTCGTGTTCATCAGCCGGCCATTCGGACTCAAACTGATATGGCCGAATATTCTTTGTTGGATTGTCTTCCATTTCACTATCGATTGATGAATTAGGCCGAGGTTCTTCCAAAAAGCCATTATAAGCGATTGTTTTGTTTTTGTGCTAGGCTGTGCGTTATTATTTTACTTTGTTGTAAACTCAACTCCAAATCGGTTTGACGATATGACGTCAAAATAATTTCCGCTGACGCTTTCTGTGCCCACGCTGCTAAGCCTCAAAACAGCTCAAATAGCGCACTTGAAGACGCGATTTTGTCAAAAATAAAATAGCTGATGTAAAAATTTCAAAAATATAGTAACCTTTGCATAAAAATGGAACTTTTAAGACCAACATTATTTTTGGGTGGAGTTCCCCTTTAATATTTGCTTCATATTTTCAGAAAAATATCATGAAAAAATCAACTCAGTTGAAACAAGGAGTTTTAAGATATGCATATCTCGATAAGAACTAGTTGCTTTGCCTCGTCTGGCAAGCGATTAAGTAAAGAACAAATAAGACTGGATAAACATAACTTAAATTATAACTTAGGAGTAAAAACATTCACAAAATATATGCCATCACACTTCAAGTATTGACTTAAAACAAAACACTGAACACTTTAAATAGTAAACAATCTTACGTTGCTTACCGGTGTCATGAAATGTTTCCTTTTCTGGCATTACTTCAGCATCCGTATACCAAACAAGTTTGCAGCATGTTTTAAAGATAAAATTTCTAAAGTTTTTGTGCTTGGCATTGATATTTTATAAAACCGCAATTGTGGTTGTCAAATCCGGGTGGGCGAAAAAAATTTCATTTTATGAGCCCGCGTCTTTCCGCTGACTTTGACAACCAAAATCCGCCATGTTTTTGACCACGCGGCCGCGCGCTAATAATTTATAGTAATTTGGTTGACGTTTCCCCTCCAGGTCTTATAGAACTCAATGATGAGCGCGCGCAGCATTATGAATTTAATTAGGACATTTTAAAATCATATAGAATATTTTAAATCCATATGGAATATTTTTAAATCATATGGAATATTTTTAAATCATATGGAATATTTTTAAATCATATGGAATATTTTTCAATCCATATGGAATATTTTAAATCCATATGGAATATTTTAAATCCAATATAGAATATTTTTAATTGAAGATTCAGATGCATTAAATAAATCGAATAAAGATATGTTCGGCGCGCCATACATTATTTTCACATGATATGCTGTCGGTATCGTAATTGGTTTTTTTCTCACTTGTTTTCGTTTTCGTTCATACAAACAGTATTAGAAATCAGGAGGGAGTGAATATTGAAAAAAAATTTTAAAGTGGAAGTTTTGACCACCAAAATCCGCCATTGCCGCCATGTTTTTGACCAGGTTAGCACTATTTTCCACCCAGCAAACCGCCCTTTACTTTGAAATATAATATTTTACACAATATAATATTTTACGCAATCTAATATTTTACACAATATAATATTTTATATAATATTTTACACAATCGTCGAAAAACGACATTTTCCAGCCTGGATTATAAGTTTATAACTTAAGGTGGTTGCATGAAAATTTATACTGCAACATTTATCTCTAAATATTTTCATATGTTGATAGTAAGAACTGTATTATAAAAAGATAAAATTACTCGCCATCTCAAAACGACCTAGCACCAGTGCATGCATGGTTTCCTTTTAGCTTTTGGTTCTTTCCCATTAGCCGCCATCTTTAATTTATTTCCGATTGTGTAAAGTAAAGGGCGGTTTGCTGGGTGGAAAATAGTGCTAACCTTTTGACCACGCGGTCCAGGCCCCTTTGCCCCTCCAGGTTTTATAGAGCTCAATGGTGTCCCCACAGTACCCATGACCCCACGCGGCCAACTCAATAGAAATCCTCGCTTCTTGACTTCTACACTCGTTATTGTGTTCTTATTTCGTCGAAGCTGGTAGAGTTTGCAAATATTTTAATTTTATAGTCGAAATGACCGCGTTTTTACCGTCAAATCTTTTGGCATTATTTGCTGCTAGACCTCCCATACCATATCTTCCGCCTCTGGATAAACTAGGTCATCAGAAAAAGCCTTGGCCGTACAGTGGAATTGCGAGTATCGTTGCTGACTTCGAGGTATTAAATACGTCGATGATTTATGTTGCAATACATTTTAACACCTCTGCGGGTTTTCCTATAAACTATAATAACTTTATAAAGTTTTCTAATGTTTTTGAAAAGTGGGTGTTGTTGCGTTTTGAACACTAGAGGAATGAAAAATCAGATATCTCGATTTTGTTCACATGTGTTGAAGTATAGTACATAGAATGGAAACAGGCTTATTTGACTATAAAATATTGGATAGTTATCGCGTATTCTATACCGAAACAAACAATTCAGTAGTTTTGGCAATCGACCTGATATACAAAGATTTTTGAAAAACTTTGATCACAGTTCAAGGGAAATATACGTATTAAAATTTTCCCGGCCTTGTTGTGTCTTGTGAAAAACACGTGATTGAAATAAAAAAATATTTAGGTTTATCAACATAATTTTTCAATAAAGTTGCATGTGAAGCTTCTCAAGAATTTGATGTACTAAAAATTAAATGTGATGCAATATATTTTTCTTATTCCAAAAATTTTATATCACCAAGTTGACAGCAAGTACATATCTCATATGATTGGGTTTTCTGATTTTTTTGAAGTCATATAATATATAATAGCTATTGTTTATTGTACCTCATTGTATTTAAATCAGTCATAAATCCAGATGATATAAGTAGACAGCTACATTAAGTTGAACTTAACAAGTTATTCTTATTTCCTATCTGTTTGAGTACACAGAATGTGAATTTTGATTTCATTTGTAAAGTAATTGAATGGAAAGGTCTAATTTAATCAATTGATGAACTTTCTTTTTCTATTGTGTTTAATTCGATTTGCTCGCTTTTGCATGATTTTAATAAGATTTTTTTATACAAAGAAATGCTGACATATTAATGCTTTTAATTATACATATCTGCTCATTTTTCTAATGATTTTTGGGAATTTTGTTTTTTTCATAATTTCGGAGAATTCAAGTAGAACTTTTACTTTATTTAGAATAAAGTCAATAACATTTTTGAAATTTCAAGGTTACATGCACACACATTTCTTGCATTGAAAACTGCCCAAGCTCAGCAATTCTAGTGCATAGCTTGAAGAGATAGATATATTTAGTTAAACCTTGTAGTTTTTTCTAATTTTCAAGTGTTGAATGAATGTGCAAAAGTTTTGAGCATTATTAATCCCCAACTAAGAGACATTGATTTTCATATTTCTCAGCAACTGACATGTGATTGTGTATAACGTACATTGCCAATGTGTTATCTATAAAAAACTGAATCACTTCAAAAAGTTTGCAGGTGCTATCAGTAAAATTGACTCTACTTATTTTTCATAGGATCCTGAAGACACACCTGCTCCAACTCGTGCAGAAACTAGAGTTGAAAAAATAGAAAGAAAGGTATGTTTTTGGTTTCAGGGTGGTAAATTTTAAGTATTAATTATGTATTAATATATTCATGTCAGTATCAAAATGGTATGAAGGGGTAATATAAAAGGCTGGATCCACCACTGTTCTCATTGTACAACTTTTTAAAGAAGTTCAATAAACTTGTGAGAGGATCAGTTGTCAGAATAAACAGTTGTTATTTTATAACATAATATATATATATATAGTATACAATACATGATGGTGGTGGCTGATGGTAAAATATTTAACTAGAGCTGTAGCTTACATGTTGTATTTTTTGAAAATAGAAATGTGAAAGAATTGAGAAAAACAAAGCGGATTTGGAGAGAGCTGCAGAAGAATGTAAGTTGATCCTAAATTGTTATAAATGTTCTAAATTGTTTTATTTTATGGTGCAGGCTGTTGGTGAAGAGTAGTGATTAAATAAATCTTATGTGATGTTTACTTTGCACTAGAACTTAGCACTGCACCTTCAACATTGACAAAATGAAGTGCGTTGTGAACATACCTGTATTTTTGTACCAATATAATTTAAAAAAAAGCCTAACTATATTGCCTTTTTAAGTCAACTAAAACAGGAATAAGCTGTATTAATACCAAAATTTGTCAGGCAATGCAACAAAATCATTTGCCACTGACTCTTAACACTCCATGAAAGGTGGACAACTGACTCTTAACACTCCATGAAAGGTGGACAACTGACTCTTAACACTCCATGAAAGGTGGACAAAGTCACTAGTGTTTTAGTGGTTTGTACTCCACTAAGAGGGGACAAAACTCAACATCATAAAAACTGTGAAATTTACGTGCTGTATATTTATTTTAATTATTTTAGGGGATCCTCACACTGATCCAAATGCAGTCACCGATGCATTTAAAACTTTATTTGTTGGCAGACTGGTAAGCAATATTTTTTAGGAATAGGAGTTGAGCATTGCTTCGGAGCTTTTCATACGAGCCCAGCTAACTGGGATTCAGTGAGGCGTTAATTGATTTTGGCAAATGGAAACAATTCTATTCTTACATATCATTAGATAAATCTTCTAGAGCAACTTCACTATATTTTGATTTAATAAGTATGCAAAACATTTAAAATTGAAACAACCACTTTGGCCTAATTTGAGAATTTCCACATGAATGGCTTGTGGCACTTAGCAAACAGCTGTAATCTTTAAGCTTGAAGTTTTGGCCCCTTTCAATGCCTCAAAATCAATTAACGCCTCAATGAATCCCGTGTAGCCGGGCTCATATGAACAGCCCCTTAATTAGATGAGTACATTGTTAATTGTTTTAATTATTCGTTATATGCATACCGTATGTAACCAGGTTTTTTTTAGTTATTTACACCCACCATTACATATATGTATAGTTAAGGTTATTATCGAGAGCTCACTATAACGGTTGGTCTAACGCAATGACCACCCCAAAAAGCTTGTTGACTGGTTTGTTTACGTTACCGGTCATTTTGACCTACCTTATTTTTACGTCTTTCCAAGTACTCCAGTCGTGCGATGCATAGTAACAACTTTACAGCTTGAAACATCAACAGGAGAGTTTGTTTTCTCAAAAAATTATCTTTTCACCTTCTATGGTGCAAGTTGTGCATAAAGTGAATGTTCGAACCTGGGAGTATTGTTACAAGCATCTTTGTAGACTGTTGGTATTCCGATAAATTTAACGGCATTCTTGTTCGTAGCCAAACGTTGATTACTTGTAAAAGTTACTCCTTGCTTAACTCAGGAAATGACTACTCACAGTTTGTCGGAATGTTAGCCTATACAGACACCAACAATCGTTTTAAGGACTTCGCCAACTTGAACTTGTCGGTCTCGTCTACAAACATGTTTACATAATTGCGTAAAAGCACTTTCGTTGTTTTGAGACCTGGTATGTTTATGAATGTATCTGAAAGGTTTTATCTTTTTTAGAATTACGATACATCTGAAAATAAACTGCGGAGAGAGATGGAGGTTTATGGTCCTGTAAAATCGGTCAGTGTACTTAAAGTGCCTATATCGTGTTTTTGCATTTCTGCCATTTGAAATAGTTCAGAGTACTTTAAAAATTTTGTAATATATTTTATAGTTCGAAAATATGATTTTGCTGGATATTTTCGCACTCCAAGCTGAAAAATTGACCATTTTCATTTGACCGCCAGAATAAAAAAAACTGGCAACTAATGTTATTTTTGACATCACATCGGGAACTCATCTGATGCATTTTGTTTAAAATTGGATGTATTTGAACATCCACGACACAAGATGTCATACACGTGGCAAATGCAACAATATAGCTATGCTTTTTAGGAAATTATGTGTAAAATACAGTGTTTTCTTAAAACGGGTTCCCGATATGACGTCAGATCTAGGCATTCGCCCAACTTTTTTTGATGTTAAGGTCAGGCAAATCATCATCGACTTTGAGCTCTAAAAAATGCACGAAGATCAAATTTTCGATTTATAAAATATGTTGACAATATGTTTAAAATTTTGTAAAGTATCTAAATAGCCTAAGGAATTAATTGTTAAAATCTGTGAATTAACTGAGTTTTTGAGGCCGTCGCTATTATTTTGTTGTAGTCGTAAGCTCACTATCACACATTGTAATCACGTTAGCACAACCATGCAATTAAAACGGAAGTATACGGACACAGGAAAAGTTCATGCAATGACTGAGACAGTGAGCACAGCAAATTTTTGCACCGAGCAAAGTGTCAAAAATAAGAATAGTATTTTCATTTCCTGACATTATCTACAAAATTATTATTATTACTCTTTTATTTGGCTTGTTGTCTGACTCAACTATTTTTTTACGAACTGAAATCCAGCTTTACTAAAGACATTTTTGTATGAGTGTTGTATGTTTTTTATGCATGTACATGAAATACATAGCGTCTGAGCTGTATAAAGCAAGGCTACCCACATGTACGCATTGAGTACCTATTTTCATATTTTGCTCTTTGTACTTTTCGGTGTTATTTGCTCGGCAATTCGAAGATGAGTATTGCGACAATTATTGTTACATTGCAAGTTAAGGTCAACATGTTTTTAGGACATGACGTTTTATAAGGAAGTACTTTTGGCTTATTGAAAGCAATAAGTTGTCTTCAAGGATAAGAACTTTGAGTGATTTTTATGATTGTCTGTATCTTCTCCGCTTGTAGATTCAAATGGTGACCAATTCTACCACAGGAAAACCTCGTGGTTATTGTTTTGTCGAGTTTGAACATGAAAGGGACATGCATAGTAAGTTCTACCATTACAAGTTCTACCATTTGTTTTGTAATTTACAATTTTAGTTCTTTAATGAGCGCAAAGTTTCGAGATCGTTTATTTTTGTCAATGACCGTGTTGTGGTAAGTTGTCTGTAATGGTAAGTCGTTGAACACAGCCTGGTTAGTACAATGTTGTTGTTAGAACAAAATCCGATTTTTTTATCACGTTTTTAATAATTTTCTCACTGCAATGCCATCGATATCTAACACCATTTTTTTCCGGTGGTGTTTCCAACAGTTTCAATTCCAATGCAATCAAAGTAATATGCTGCTATTATTAAATCATTGCAGTTCAAATACTGTCGATATTGCCAAGTGAATGGCAACAGACGATTGCTCGCTCCTATGCCATGGCTAACACTACTTGATCATTTAAAATGTTTCATTTTAACTGGTGGGTATTTTGGTGGGTATAGGTTCGTATTACATTCGAATGCTTTTAAAACAAAGAAAATATTGTTTACTCAAAAAGAGGCAAATAGTTTTGCACAAATTCAAATTTCTGATCACGAAAAATACGTTTTAATAGCTCTTGCAATGCTAACTGACAAATTTCAATTCCACTCACCAAAACTGCGGTTTTACAAACCTACAATGCCCTATTTTTGGCACTGCGTACAATATGTTTAAAATGCACAAAGTGTAGCTTCACTTGACTTAAGTCCAAATCTAAGTAATGTTAAGTCTCTCGTACTATAACACTGTGTTGCGAAATAGAAAGTGATGTGATCAATTTCGATTAAATTTTGAAAGCTAAGCTTGTGTACTACAGTATAAGATTATGAAAAATTATACATTCGAAAGTACATTGGCGATGCTAGCTTTCTCTTTGACTTCAAAACTTCCTCCAAGTATTGAAATATCCCCTTGGAAAAGTCGTCCCCAATTTGACTCAATTCGAAGTGAATAATTGTTTTGAATGAATTAATGAAAAGTTTGGACAAGTTAATAAGAACTCTGAATCATGTTTGCGTAAGTATATGTGTTTTGTAAGTATGGAGTATTTGCCATTTTAAAGTTGAGGTATTCCCCTTGTCTTCGGAAGCAATTTTTATTTTACCTATATCGGAATAATTACGACGGTGTTTTCGATAGGCGGCTCTTATATATTCTCCGTTTACCTGTGATTCGAAATAGTGTGAAATGACTTACAGGTTATGATATAAATCAAGTAACGGCGCCGTTTTATACAAATTTTATAAGCTTCGGTTTTCATCCCAAACAAATTATATTTTATACCATAAAAGTCAAGCATGTCAACAACGATCCAGCGTTCGTCAAAATAAATTGTACGTCGTCAAGTTTAAATTCAAAATATCTGCAGAACAACACTATTGGTAATGAATTTGTAAAGAATGAAATTTTACCCATCGACTGGCCTTTATGGTATTTGGAAATATAAATATATCAAAAAATGGCTGCAGTTTTTTTTGACGTGTAAGGAAATTACTAGTTGTTGAATGTGTCCAGCAAAGTAGCTTTTTCCGCACATTTTTGTGGTTAGCCCCTGCGCATGCGCGGCTCACAGGCGATAACGTATATCACAATTATATTTCGTTCCAGCGGGCGTTACAAGCAACCTATATAATTAGTCGTTAGTATTATGTAGTGTCTGGTATTTAGTCCAGTTCGATATTATTTCCATTTCTTATACATGGCTTGGTTTACTCATACAGACATACAGTACTCTGTTGGTTAATTAAATCAAACGCAGAAAGCAAAGGAATTTATTTCGCTTTTGAATTTTGTACGAAATATAGATATTATTAGCGGAAATTTTCAATTTTAAATCGAGTGAAATATGATAAGTGTCTAACTATAAACAGGAAATAGAACATACCTGCCATCTCCTGCAATGTGCAAAGCGTTTACTTTCAAACATTATTTGCGTTTATTCGTTGGATTTATAAACTTTTCAAGATGTGATAAGGAAAAAGGAAAATAGCACGGCCCGTTGGCTAAATATACAAGTGTCTAATGTCTTTATATAAAATAATATCAAGTAGTACGGATAGTACAATACTAGTGTCTATATATGAAGTCTAATTCATGTAATAAACCTGTTGATTTATCGGTTGTATGAACGACATCTCAGACTCTTCTGAAAACTGTTTTGAAAGACAGCATTAGAAAAAATGTTTTCGGTGGAAGAACACCTTTCAAAGTCGCGAGAAATCTAAATGACGTCACTTTCTTCATGCGAGTCTCGTGATCCCGGTCACGTGACATTCAAGCTAAGCTACAGCCTCGAAAAAAGCAGAAAGAGTTAAATAAATTTATGGGTCGTGTAACTATAAAACATTTCCAAATCGTGAATAAGTTTTACGTAAATAATATTAAATATGCAATCTTATTTGAACTATATCATTAAATCTACTTCATTTACTAGCCATGCACATGATAGGCTACCCAGATGTACGCATTGCGTACCTATTTTTACCGTCCAGCCTACGTGATTGCGAACCTCGACTGAAATAAATCATACAAAGCTGTTTCTCGATGTTTGCTACCAATATTTTTCGCTACACTAAGCAAATATGGGGTTAGGTTGATTAGTCGGTTTATCTTCAAGCGTTGTCGATTTCTGGTCTCGGTGTATCCACCTGCCTACCTTATAAGCTATGTTCAAGGCAGTTGTTTGGTTTTTTTGGTGTTTGTTTGAGTTAGTCCTTAGTTGTTTCGTACCATTGTAGCCGCTTATAAACATGCTGACGGTAAGAAGATTGATGGCAGGCGTATAGTAGTTGATGTAGAAAGAGGAAGAACAGTGAAGAACTGGAAACCTCGACGTTTAGGTAAATAAGTTGGTGATTTTTGAAAAAAATTACTTTATTTATCAACGAGTGGAAGGAGACTGTCACTGCGAAAAAAATTTAAAATAATTGGGGTATCAATCTAAGTTTTAGAAAATAATCAATCAATGTCAATTCTAAATTTTAGGAAGGATTTCAAGCCATAAGTAGGAACGTGTATTTTTAGTATCCTAAACTTCTACCTGTTAGCCCTGGGCTCATGTAAGTTCGTGAGTTCTTTTTCATGGGCTAGAAAGTGAGGACTGCTGCTACCCACTTGGTATATTCCAATTTCATATTTTTTGTGCCATAAGTTATGTCTTTCTGACTTTCTATCAAGGTGGAGGGCTAGGTGGCACACGAAATGGTGCTCCTGAAGCAAACATAAAGCATTCTGGCCGCGTCGAAAATTTTGACAGGTATGATGAATGTTCGTTAGCTGTAAATGAGTTGCCATAGTCGTGATGCTTCAGTTACTTGTTTTAGTGCTATTTTGATTGTGGTTTGAAAATCATTGTTCAGCAAAAGATTAATCCCATAGTTAACCATGATGTAACGTGATCAAGTGATCTTTCCCCGCATTAAGGCCCGTTCACACTATCCGATTAGTCGGATCACAAAAAAACGGATCGTGTGACACATACAAAGCGAGCTTTCGACAGTCGGATCCGTCAGTCTAAAAATTCGCCGATGTTACGGATGTTCTGTTTGTTTAAATTAATATTCCAATTGTGTCGCAGAGAGTACTTAAAACTTTCTTTTGTTTAATGCGGGGCGACAGATGTAATAACTGTCATTTAGAGTTTGTACCTTAATTGCAAATTGCATCGATTTTTGAAGAATATTACCAAACCTTTACAATATACGAACAAGGGGGAGTTTCGTTCTGAGCCAATCATAGGTTAGTTTACGTTTTAAAATTAGCCAATCGGAACTCGCAAAACTCAAAAATGTAAACAAAAGGGGTGAGAAATTTGCACTTTGTTTGATCCTTTAATGAGCTACGTTTTTGAGTAAATAAATATAAAAAGCAAAGATTCATATAAAGCAACACTTTTTCTTCAAATTCCTCTTGGGCATTTTAAAATTGCGATCTAGAACGGAATTTATCCGCTGTCTAATAGCTACCATTTTACACGCGCGAAGTAGCATTGATTGTGTGCTTGGTTTACAAGGGGTTCACCTGTCAGAGCGTATATGGAACTTTTATTCTGGCGCAATTAGATTGCTCCAAAATTCCGTTGCTCTATGGATTTTGCAGTCTTTACTACAGGCTCGTTTTTAAAGTTACTGGTCAGTTAATAAGGTTTTCTAAAGGAAAGAATTTTTTTTAACCGTTAAAATTTTCACTTGACGCTTTTCAATGTTTGTACTATGCAATTATTATAAAATATAAAACCACGAGTTTCATTTCATTAAAACTTTAAGTAGACAAGTATGTTGACATTTGCATTTCAACATGTGCAACTTGTACGGAACCTTCAGAAAAACTAAAAACCAGCAGTCCCGAATATTTTAAATTCAAGTTATATTATTGTCAATTTCCAGGTTTTGTCTGAGCAATCACAGTTTGTAGCATTTTTATTAGTGTGTAAAAACATTTGCACGAATGCTCGGGTTGGTATAAAGCGAAGTTCATTTTAATGATAATAAGCATTTCATATGTCTCAAGACTTCACTATTCACTCCGAAGCAATCTTCTGGAAATGAAAGACCCTGCCTACTCATGCCTGTATGTTGGATGAACACCGCCTAAAATTGACCTGAAAATGGATTTTACTGTTTTTTAGGGATCGCGAGCGAGATGAACGTGATCGTGGTGGTGAATATCGTGATCGTTCAAGGCGTGATCGTGAACGAGACCGTGGCCGTGATAGAGATCGCGATAGACATGATCGTCGCCGAGAAAGGGATCGTGATGGTCGGGATCGCGAGGGTCGGGACCGTGAGATTCGGGACCGCGAGGGTCGAGACCGTGAGGGTCGAGACCGTGAGGGTCGAGACCGTGAGGGTCGGGACCGTGAGGGTCGGGACCGTGAAGGTCGGGACCGTGAAGGTCGGGACCGTGAAGGTCGGGACCGTGAAGGTCGAGACCGTGAAGGTCGGGACCGAGAGGGTCGGGATCGGGATAGAGACAGGTAAGTAAAGCAAAAAGTAAAGCGGATTTTGTTAGTGTAGTCGATGCAACTAGACCAACTGTAGTAATTGGTATAAAATAGAGTTTTTAATACTTTTTTGCTAACTTCAGATAATTAAACGACTTAGTAACGTAATTGAATTCTATTAAATGAAGATATGATCTTCGCACTTTGCTGGACAATTTAAGCAATTGTCTCATGAACCTGAAAAATTCAGGTGACTCAACGGGATCAATCCCGTTAAGTTGTCCAGCAAAGTGCGAAGATCATATCTTCATTTAATTTCAAACACCGCACTGCATATAACATTCTTTCGTAATTGAATTCAGTTGCTGTTCGCAAAGTAACGATGTAAACAAAAACGCGCATATAAACCAAAAACACGTTATAAACAAAAACGCACGCAAAGTAACGATATAATAAAAAAATAAAGCTTACTCCGAACAAAAAGTTCATTTTTACCTCAATATTTGAGAAGGAAACAAGACAATTTTTTATTTGAATAGTTATACTTCGAATTTGTTACACGTTCATCATCAAGACTATATTTACAAGCCAACTGACGCTCTACTGATATGAATGTTACATTACTCCAACGGAAGTGTGGATTGGGTGGTACAAACACACCACTATAACCCAGGAAAAATTCTCTCAACACTACTCAATCCTCTCGCTTCTAATGAATTTACTCTTACTGATTCCTTTGATGCCGTAAACTCTATCCACATTATTCCTAAAAAATTATTGAAGGCTATCAATTCGTTTCGTTTGACGTCGAATCTTTATTTACCAACGTGCCTTTGAACAGAACAATAAAAATAATTTTGGAAAGAAATTTTTGAGGTAATCAAATTTTAACTAAACTTGAGAAAAGAACTCTTAAAAAACTTATTATGGACTGTTGCATTAAAAGCGCTTTTTCTTTCGACAATGAAATTTATAAGCAAACCGATGGGGGTTTCAATGTGCTCCTCCCTTGGCCCCATACTCCCTAACATAATTCTACAACACACTGAAACACACTGCAGTCGCTTTGGTCGCGCGACTAAAGCGAATTGATGCGTGCGCGTTAGTCGCTTGAATGTCAAAAACACACATGCAAAAGCGAGCATTGCGACCACATTGCGACTGTCAACATAACATGGCGTCTAGTCATCAGGCTAAGTTACTAGCAATCTGTTTGTACGAGCTGGAAGAGGTTGAAAAACGGGAAAAAATAAAATGAAAAGGTGGTGGGCTCGTCAACTAAACAGGCAAAGGAGAGCACAAGGAGATTTTTTACACTTGGTTCAAGAACTAAGAACCGATGAGGAGCAGTTTAATCTGTATTTTCGCATGAGCCCTCAAATATTTGATGAGCTGCTGACTATGGTTGGTCCTCTCTTCGAAGGCAAGATACTCAAATGAGGCAATCAGTTGGACCTGCTGAAAGACTAGCAATCACATTAAGAAGATTGGCTACAGGTGATAGTCCACAGTCTATAGCATTTGCTTATCGTCGTGGGGCTAGCACAGTTTGTGAGGTTGTTTACGATACGTGTGATGCACTTTGGAGAGTTCTGGTCCCCACATAAATGAAGGCTCCTTCGCAACCAAGTGACTTGAGGAAAATATCTGAAGGGTAAAGTTAAAACATGAGTTACTTCATTGTAGACTTGTGGTGCCACTGCATCATTGTTTGTTGTATGTTTTCATATTTGCTTGTACATGGAATTTTCCAAACTGCATTAGATCATTAGATGGAAAACATATCGCTGTTCAGGCTCCGAGAAACTCTGCATCTTTGTATTTCAATTATAAAAAACACTTTTCCTTGGTGTTATTGGCTATGTGCGATTCCCAGTACAAATTTATCTTTGTGGATATTGGTGAAGCTGGGAGATGGAGTGATGGGGGAGTCTTTGCTAACTCACAATTTGGATCAGCTTTTTTAAATGGTATCATATCTCTTCAAAGTATTCAGTGTTCAAAGTAGTATTCACCTTGTAAGTTTATTTGATATGTGACATGCATCTACCTGCTGATGAGCCTTTACCAGGAACAAATGAAAGCCTTCCCTATACTGTGGTTGCAGATGAGGCATTTCCTCTTTATTATGCTACTACCCACGATCATTATGCTACTTAACACATTCAGCCCTATACAGTAACACAATAATAAAAGGAGACATAAATGTTAATATGTATGCCTTACTGTGGCGCTTTCTGTAATCGTCCAACCATGTCATCAAACCCCAAAACTCCCATGATGGTGTGGATGAGGCTGGAGCTCCTAATTTTATGGCAGCATCGTTTTTCTTTTTGTATCTGACGTATACATCTCTAAGGCTTTTCATTTTGGCCTTGAGCTCCTCAACTGATAAAATTGATAAAACAATATGCTCAATATGTCAAACAATCCAAATTTCAACAGACAACATTTCTTATCACGGCATCACTGAAAAAATATCAAAAATAAATGAATTGCTCCTTGCCTGTTCCTGTAAACCCAACAGCTCTCAGATCGTCTAGAATTTGATGCCACGCATTCACTCTATCGGCTCATTTTTAAAATTTTGTCTGCAAGATCAAATAATACAGGAAAAGTTGCGAAAAGAATTTATGAGCGCTTCTTCGTAACCAGCCATCTTTGTTCTCGTAAACTTCATAAATTGACATTTTGAGCTAGGAAACAACCAATCACATGCAAGCGACTGAGAGGACCAAGGTCAAAAGTTCAACATGCTAAACTTCCAAAGCCACTAGACTCGCGACTAAAATTACTAGCTTAATGACCGCGCAATTTTGTAATTTTAGTCGCGCGACTAAAGCGACTGCACAGTGTGTTTCGGCCTTAAATGAATTTGAAAATCTATCATTTCCGATTTAATTGATTCCGGCACAATAAAGTAGAAGATATGTAGATGACACTCTGTTACTTTCCAACATCCCGGCTTTATTAAAACTATTTTAACAAATTTTATAAAAACCTCATATTCTCTGTTGATACGGAGGGCACAGTTCATTTTCTAGACATTAAAATATCAGTTGATGGCAGAAAATTATTTATAATTGTCTTAAAAAAAATTCGTAAATGTCTTATTAAACCAGGTCAATTTATTATTTTTGACAACGAGAACGTCGCTTTTTTTCACTTATAACAAAAAAAACATCTGCTCCCTTACTCGTTTCGATCTCGTATATCAAATTAATTGCCCAGGCTGTAACAAATTCTACATTCGTATAATAAAAAGTAATACCAAACATAAAGTTTTAATTAAAGCCATAGAAATAGACCAAAAGTTGTAAAATTGAATTTATTGTGACGTTTCGTCTTTACTCAAGACATTTTCAGACAAGTAATAATTAATAGGATGTTAAGACAAGATATTATATTTACAAAAGGTGTTAAATTACTACTAAAAGAGGCGGTGTCAAATGGATTACATGATAAGGAAGTTAAAGTGCTTATCTCACAATTTTTTTTCGAATTTTCTGATTGAGGTAAAAAAATCATTGTAAAAGTTATTTTACAATTTTCTGATTGATGGCTTCGTTTATGAGATAAAGGCATTTCTTTTCTCAAAATGGGCAATAATGGAGAAAAATTGCTGCGCGTTCAATTTGCTTGAGGAGAGCTTGAATCGAGAAGTATGTGACGTAACATAAGGACAGGAAGTTTTGTGAAGTGTGATTTTTGCTATAATTTCTACTTTATCTACTACGGCTCTGCATCAAAATGGCTGATAGATGTGCAGTTTTCGGGTGTTCAAACCGAGCAAATTCTGCAGAAGGAATTTCTCTTCACCGTATACCATTTTACGGTGATGAGCGTCCTGAAGCGAAGCGAAGGCGTAAAATCTGAGTGAATTTTGTTGCAAGAAAACGCGCTCAATGGACACCGACTAAGTATTCGGCTGTTTGTTTGTTTTACTTATGATGGTGATGGCAAAGTAATTTGGGCAAAGTTCAAATCTTTCCTGATTCACATAGTAGACAAGCACACCAATTTGGATAATCCACTGTTGTCAAGTTGTTTTCATGGCCCTGATAATAAACCAAGGGAATATTTGTTAGAAGGTTTGTGAAGGCATTATTTAAAGATAACTTCCCTTACAGTTTATCATCAATCTTTGTTGTAATGTTTAAGGTTCAGTTGCTCATGAAAAGCTTTGTGCTAAATTGTTAAACCCACAGCTGATGAAGTCAATTCACCAGGCTTCACCAGTTGCTCAAACAAGTTGTTTGGAAGGATTCCATTCTGTCCTGAATCATTTTGCTCCAAAAATGATTCATTATTCCTATGTTAGAATGTATTGCAGGTGAGCGAAAATTTCCAATATGACAATGTTAGTTGTTTTGCAACTTCCACAAGTCTTTATTGTTTTAGACACATTTTGGCATCCATCCACTTCAACAACAACTTAAGGCGTGATGTAGAGATGAAGAATGATGGCACTTCCCAAATAAATGAGGTGTATTCACAGTTTAAAAATGGTGAAGGCACTGTGAGGGATGTCAGAGTTAAGCCCAAATTTGGTAAGTTGCTAAATGTGTTGCTTTGCATCATTTCATAATATCACAATAATTTCTTTTTAGAGTATGTGGATGAATTACTTGATAGTGTGATTCTATCAATAAAAGACAAAGACGCATTATCAAATTCGCAAAATCTTTTGAAAGTAATGTTTCTGCCACCAATGAATGTCATGCTGCAAAAGCAACCCAGAGCTGAGGTGTTACTAAAACAGGTCCGTCGAAAATGCATTGTGGCCAATGATGTCCCACCCTCAATTCCAGGTAATTAATAATGATTATATAACATGTTGTAGCTAAACATGGTTTGAAAATCATTTTAAATAATAAAAATGTTTTTGTTTCATGCCAGCAGCTACCAGTGTGCCATTCAGCTGTCACTCAAAAGTGGCAGTTTCAAAAGAAAAAAGTCAGCCGAAATGTTTGACATGCAAGAAGCCAATGAAAAGTCACAAACCGATTGCCCATAAAATAGGAAAAATTAATTTTCACATCACTCATTTATTTCATTTTCTTCGTACCCTCTAAATTCCAACTTTTTATCATTAAATTTTGATCTTATTACATGGTATGCACATGCTGGTAATGGTCTTCTTTCTTCTCCTAAGCATCCAGAAATCATAGATGTGAGATCTCTGTATGCAACACATCATAAAAACCTGAATATAAAGCCAAATTGTTACTAATGTGTCATAACACTAAAATATACATAAATACTGCGAAAGAACATAATATGCTATCATACATGTTTTCAGATCCTGTTTCTCTGTATCGTCTTTGTTCTCTGGTTTTGTATTTCTTAGCAGCCATTTTCTTAGTGACGCAACATGGAATAGTTGACAGATCTGCCAGAACCGACTGGTGTATTAAGCTTTCAGCTACAGACTTAAGTTCTTGGCAGCACCAGGACTCTAGAGGATTCTGAAGAAGTGTAATTTGACAAAAACCACACTTGCACCTGATCAATAAAGAAAATCACATTAAAAAATTGTAATCGAGCATCTTTTAACAATTTTTTGCCCAAAAGTAAATAAAATAAGCGAGGGAATCTTGAATAGAAAATTGCACGCTTATGTATATATTTCATAACTTGAAACCTGAATTGAAATACACTTCATAAGTTGAATTGAAATTTTATTACTCACCAAGAACTCAACTGTTTGATCAAGTCTTTTTTGTAGCATTTCAAGCTGCTTTTTATGTTCATGTGACTTTCAACGTAGTCTTCATACCATGCTTGTTTGGCCATTGGTTCATCAGCGTAAAGATAGGACTCGGACTCTCCGTGATTTTCATCTATTGTGTTATATTCCTGGTCGTTAATGTTCCTTGTTTCATCTTCGATGACATAACCGGGAATATAATCATACTCCGAATCACATTGCGAACTATGAGAGCTTCCGAATCAGAATTCAACTCCGCCATCTAATTGTTGATAGCAAGAGCTTGACTTGTTCCTTAAGTTACGTCACAGAGACTTGAGACTTGATTTTGTGCTTAAAGGGGAAGAAATAAGAGATACGTTGGGAAGGGCGGAAAGTAAATTTAATTGATATATATGGAAGCTATATGAAGGAATTCAAGAAAACTAACACAACATCAACTTATCCAAGATCGCAAACTTTTCCGTCTCACATCCAAACATGACAACAACATTTTAATCGACCCTGATAAAGTGGTGTTCAACTTTTCAAACCGCCTCATTACTGACAAAGAGAAAGAAATCCTTTCAAAAGGCTTAAACTTCTCCATTGCACTTTTCTAACCCCCTTTAAAAAACTCTACAACCATCTTAAACGAGAACCCGTCTAAGAACCATCCAAACATTCCAGACTCAATCAAATGTAAATTGAAAGACATTGCCCACTCAGGTTTCCGAAGTTACAGCCCACAACCTTTCCTATACTCACAAGAAGACTTGAACACCCTAAATCATTTAAAAACGACAGAAGTATCCTATCACTAAATCTGACTAAGGAAATGGCATCGTAATACTTAAGGAAGACGACTACATAAAGAAAATGGACACACTCTTATCTGACACTACCAAGTTTCACCCTCTTGATGGAGATCCAGTAAAAGTCACTTTAAAACGAGACAATCAAGTGAAGTGTTTATTAAAAAAGTTGAAAGATGCTAAATCTATCGGCCAAGAAACTCACAAAGAACTATACCCTACAGGTTCACAAATCGGTATAGTGTATGGTCTTCCTAAAATACATAAATCCCCATTCTTTCCTCCATCAATCATTCGTATAAAGTAGCAAAGTTTTTCATCCCACTCCTAAAATCCTTCACTATAAGCAACCTCATCATCAAAGACTCTTTCTCCTTTTTATTGAAGAAATCCACAATTCCAATATTAATTCCGTTAATTTTGTCCTTGCTAGTTTTGATGTCGTATTCCTGTTTACTAACATACCTGTCGACGAAACCATTCGCATAATATCCAATAACATTTTTAAAAATCATCAATGCTTTGACGGACTCACCGTAACAGAAATTTTAAAACTCCTCTCTCCTCTCTCTAACTGTTAAGAATTGTCACTATCTTTAACGGCCAAATGTACCAGTGGCTATGGGCAGTCCGTTGGGCCCTCTCTGCTGATATGTTTATATCCTTTCACGAACAATCCTCGCTGAATAAATGTCCTTCTTCTTTTAAACCATTACTTTACCGACGCTACGTTGACGACTGTTTTTTACTTTTTCATTCCTCTGCTCACGTCCCTCTCTTGACTATCTGAACCGACAACATCCGAACATCACATTCACATCTGAAGTCGAACAAAATAGCAAACTATCATTTCTTGACATTGACATCTCTTGCACAAATGGAAAATTCACCACTTCCGTCTACCGCAAACCTACTTTCACAGGCCTATGCACTAACTTTCACAGCTTCACCCCACTTTCTTACAAACTTTCACCAGTCTCCTGCTTACTTCACCGCATCTTCAAACTTTGTTCTACTGACGAAAATTTTCACACACAACTCGAATTTACCAGAAAGTCACTCACCAAAAACGGTTTTCCTTCGCGTACTTCACAACTTTTGGTCTATTTCTATGGCTCTAATTAAAACTTTATGTTGGGCATTAATATATATTATTGTAATGTAGAATTTGTTACAACCTTGGCAAGTAATTTGATGTACGAAATCGAAACGAGAGAGGGGGCAGATTTTTTCTTTGTTATAAGTGTAAAAAGCCACGTATTTGGTGTCAAAAATAATACTAAATTGACCTGGTTTAATGAGACATTTAAGAATTTTACAACTTTTGGTCTATTTCTATGGCTGTAATTACAACTTTATGTTGGGCATTAATTTTTATTATACGAATTCGATTTCTGCTCGGCAAGTCTCTCGCTACTATTTTAAATCCTACATTGGTAAAACTGAGAGATGCCTTAAAACTCGACTTCATGAACATGCAACGCAACATGAAACAAGCACTATTGCACAGCACTTTTTACCTAAAAGCACATGACATTACATCGCAAAACAAGAACACACTTGATCACAAAACACTTTCAGAGAGACGTAATTCAAAAATTACCGAACTCGTTCACAAACTTAAACAAAAACTGACTTTTACTAATGGAAGCACTCTATCACTCTATTAAATCACACCAACCAGAACTCAATAATGGCTTAAAGCCAGCAAAGAATTGTCACTATTTGATTTCACAGCCTCACAATCACCTAACCGTCCCATCCAATCCACACTTCCGTTTGAAGGATGTAACATTCATATAAGTAGAGCGTCAGTTGGCTTGTAAATATAGTCTGATGATGAATTTCTAACAAATTCAAAATATAACTATTCAAATAAAAAATTGTCTTGTTTCATTCTCAAATGATGAGTTAAACCTGAACTTTTATTCGCAGTATGCTTTATTTTGTAGTACGTAAAATTGTCGGCTGGTAGTGGATTTTGGTAGCGATATAAACAAGAAGCGTGCAATGCATCATAGTTGACACACATTTTTTACCAGACAATCTCAGAACAAAGAATGAATAAACAGGAAACAATGAAATTATGAATAAATTACAGTTGTTCGTAAATAATATTACAAGTCGTAAGTGAGAAGACAGAGTTGTTGAAAACCCACCTGTCTTATTTTTGACTTGTGCTTATACTTGTAAATAAGTACGTTGAACACAAGATCACAATTGAAGCTGGAGAATGTTACTTTTAAGGCGTTATTTCCTGGTGAATATAGCGCACAGTTTGATTGAATGCAGAACAGCATGCAGAGGCGTAACTAGAACGTTAATTGGGGGTGTGTATTTTCATATATTCAGTGGTGCCCTACTGATTTCTTTTGAAATTCAAATCACTTTCAAAAGAAATCAGTAGAGCACTACGGAATATGCAAACCGCCCCAATTAACGTTCTAGTTACGCCTCTGACAGCATGGGTATTGAAATCTAATCCTGTAAATTTGCAAAATACCTAAGTGTTTACCGCTTTCTATGAAAATGTCAGGTCAAAAACAAAATTTTACTTTTGAAACATGGTTTCCATGGAAACTTTGCAGTATTGTGTTGAGAGTCAAAAATTCACACGAGTCTGTCATAGTGTAAACTTTCCGGGAGTGTCTAGCAACCACCCCATTTTGTACTTTATTATTCTTCAGAGATTTATTTGATTGTTTCAAATCAAACTAACAAAGTAATTTTTCAATTTCATAAATTCTACGCTTTATAATGATATCTCTCCTTCTGTTTTATCCCCCAGCAGCTTTGTTTTTTAAAAAAAATATCTAAATGCGCTTGCACTATTTGTGTGCAAACTGTGAAGGCTTAGCTACAATGCAACGAAATGGCTATAAACACCGAGTTTTGTGTGTTGTGGAAATAAAAATAAGAAATCCAAAATTTTTCGATTTTTTACATCAGGAAATATTATCGTTTACTGTTTTGCAGCAATAAAAGAACGTGATGTACGAATGCATATCTGAGCCTAATGTCGATTTTTATGTATGTGCAATAAAAGTGCGCATATGAGATGAATATTCATTTAAGCGACTGCTTTCAAACTCGAGGCAGTGCCTGTTAAAATAATTCAATATAACTATATAGACTGCTAACATTAACGCTGTCTATTTGGCAAGTTGAATAAAATTTGCTGTTTTGAAACTTTGCACTATCCTTGGAACCCTAGTTAATTTTTTGTATTGGTTTTAGTGTGTAAGTGTGCCTTAATAGCATAAATTTTAGATTAGAATCATCAGAATATGTATATTTACAATTGTGAATATATTTATACTAAGTGTCTCAAAAAACTCTTTGAAATCAGCCGACGTCTAGAATTTGCATGATTCTGGAATAATTTATCCACAATGAGGCGTTAAAGAATTGAAATAAATATCATACTTGAAAATTGCAACATACAATAGCTGCAATTCGTATGTGTCGTAGTTTTCAGTTGCGTTACAGGTTTTTGGGGATAATTTATTGTTGAATCATGCAAATTGTTAATGACAGCAGATTTCAAATATGAGCAATGTTTACACACCCTGTATAATAAATAATAATTTAGTTAAATTGTGGAAAAACTAATGGTGAACATTGCAGGGATCGGGAGAGACGGCGTAATCGTGATGATGAAAAAAGTCGGGATGGTGAAATGCGTGAGCGTGTTGATAGTGGTCGTGAACGTGGTGAAGAGCGTTCACGTGAGGAGGAACGTGGTTGGGAACGTGATGGCTATCGTGAAGACGGCGGAATAGATGATCGTGATGAAGATTACTCACGTGAACGTGATCGACGATACAAGCGTGAGCGTAATGAAGATGTAGAGCGTAATGGTGAAAACAGAGAAGATGAAGTAAAGAAAATTAAGACTGAAGACGGTCGCTATGATGGATATGATTTGAATGTGGTGAGAAAAATCAAAGAAGAACCTAGAGACGACTATTATTGATGATATATATAATTTGCATTCACTTTATGTATTCAAAAACGGTAGTAAGCAATGTGCAGAATTGTTTGTTGGTTATCAGGGAGGGTTTTTAGCGTTTCTTTGTGTTTGACTGTTCTCTACCTGCGTCATTCAAGAAGAAAAGCGACAACCATGCTGTGTTGGAAGTTTATTTTGTATTTTATGGACAATACGCATTTCTAAAGAACGCTAAGATTATTTTTAAGATTTTACTCTTTATATTTACTGAAAAGCTTTTTCGAGTATTTTATCAAAGTAGAGGATGCTCTCAGCTATTTCGCAGTCTTCACAAACCATTCAAGCCCGTTTCACGCGATACAATTTCGAGATGGATCAAGTCGGTTCTGGAATTGGCTGGAATTGACAATGCGATTTTCAAGGCACATAGCACGAGAGTGGCTGCTGTATCCTGCTGTATCCTTGTGCCAAGGCCAAGGGACTACCTATTGACGTTATCATGAAAGCTGCTGCATGACAGTCGGAATCCACATTTGCTAAGTATAACAAACTTATTATTACTGAAAATTTTGGTGGAAAACTTTTGGAAACCAGGGGCAGGTTGTATAAAAACGTAGTTAACTATAGTTAACGCTAACTACCGTAGTTAACTCCTTAACTGTAGTCACATAACTGCTCGATTTTACTGCGTTGCACAAAACGTACTTAGTCGGAAGTTAAGTAAAGGTACGTTAACAAACAACGATTTGTCGGGCCGCCACCACTGATGTGATAATAGCCTGGGTATAGCTTCTTCAGGTAGCAAAGTGAAGCCTAATTATATATGCAAAATTCACTTCCGGGTACCACGGTGAGATACAAATTACTATAGAAATGTATGGCTGATAACGTTTACAAACATGGATTTTCGAATACTTAAGACCTTTTGCGACTCCTTACTAACCTCGAGTATTAGTCGTGGATAAAACAGGTCATGCGAGTCGATTTGACATCAAAATAATTCCGATAGCTGTAAAATATCGACTTCAGTGTTAATTTAAAAGTTGTACATGCGAGAATATATTTTGTCTCATTGCCAATGCAAGATAGTTCACTGTTCGCTTTCCAATTTCTGAGGCAGTTATGATCTAGTATACGTTTCAATTCTTTAGAAATGAGGTGAGTTACATTTTTTATCATTCTTAGTTACATGTTTGTAAATGTAGATCGTTCAGGTTGGTATAGTCCTGAGAAGGACTGTTTTTGTTGTTGTTGACTGACGTTTCGACAACCTTAGCGGTAGTAATCTTCAGAGTGAAATGAGGAGTATACATCAGGTTAGCTTTATTTGTTATCTGGGTCTTACGTCATTGTATTGTGTGTACAGGAAATGTGTGGGTGTCAATTGTGTATTGTCATTGTGAATAAGTGTGAAGTGTAATGTTTTTAGTTGATCATTGGTATTGTGAATAAGTCGTTTGTAAGGTGCCGGTAATTGCTGTGATCTGTTCAGGGGGGTTTGTTCCATGTTGGTATACCAACTTTCTAATGTAAGCCGTTGTCTATAGTCAGTACTGTAAGTAATGCATTTTGCACGTCTTGTTAATGTTCTAACGTGCACAAATCATATGTGATTCACCGGATGCTCTACACAACCAAAACAACTTTTACTTTGACTTCATCCAACGCAACACTTAAAAACTCAACGAACCCAACGAAAAGAACAACTCAACGACAACAGCAACGATACCTTACATCAAAGGTACGTCTGAGACTATCTCGCGTATCTTACGACCATACAACATACGTGTCGCACATAAACCAATCCCAACGTTACGAAAAGTACTAACAAACATAAAGGACAAAGAACAACCCAACGAACGACAAGGTGCAGTTTACAAAATAAACTTCTCCGACCGCCACGCCTCCTATATCGGGGAAACTGGCAGGAACTTAAACATAAGACTTACTGAACACAAACGAGCTACTATGAAACAAGACAAAACTAATGACATTGCCGAACATCACCGAATCACAAAGCACAACATTGACTGGGACTCGGCAAAATGCATTACTTACAGTACTGACTATAGACAACGGCTTACATTAGAAAGTTGGTATACCAACTTGGAACAAACCCCAGAACAGATCACAGCAATTACCGGCACCTTACAAACGACTTGTTCACAATACAAACAAACGATCAACTAAAAATATAAACTTCACACTAAGTCACAATAATAATACACAATTGACACCCACACATTACAACTAAAAACATCACACCTAAATCACACTTCACAACTAAAAACATTTCACTTCACACTAATTCACAATGACAATACACGATTGACACCCACACATTTCCTGTGCACGCAATACAATGACGTAAGAACCAGATAACAAATATGGCTAACCTGACGTCCACTCCTCATTTGACTCTGAAGATGACTACCTCTAAGGTTGTCGAAACGTCAGTCAACAACAACAAAAACAGTCCTCAGGAGTATACCAACCTTGACGATCTACATTTACAAACATGTAACGATACTCCCCGGTTCAAACCATTTACTTTATTCTTTCTTTGTGTTGAGAGATTGTTGACATTCTATTTTTGCTGTAACTTTATTTTTCATGTGCAAAGTACTACTGATGCTTAAGAAGACAAGTTTATTTAGTTTCTTTCGCACTTTATCTTTAGTTTCCATTTCTGTAGTTGATTTTCTTAAATGGTATAGTCGAAATGAAACATCAAGGTAGTTTAGCCAGCCAGGTATGTATTTGCAGGCTCTTTCAGAGTGCAAAAGCTGGCTGCATTGTTTAATCTATATAATCATCTTGGTTTTGGTTTGTCCCTTAAGCAGTTTTAAATTATTAACAGCAACATAACACTGTGTCCACAGTTTATATTTGTAAGTACTGCTTCTCAGCAGCATTCAAGTCAATATATGAATTTGTAAAAGATTTCCATAAATTTCATCTGATTGTAGTTTAGTTTCTATCATGCTTTAGAAAATTACTATGAAACGATCAAACATTCAATTCAGTCAGTGAGCTTGACTATGTTAGTTCAGTTGGCTATCAGTCGAAATCGGTGAAACCAATCACAGTAAGACAAAAATTTAAACGAACCAATTACACGATAGCAATTGGACTCCCCTATCGGTCCGGCTAACCCGCTTATCGGTCGAGATTATTCCAGATCGTCCATTGATCTGGCTATTGACCAATGGAATGGCTTAAATAAGTGTTCTTGAACTCCGTTATCGGTCGAACCAGTCGAGCCACCCCGCTTATTAGTCAGCCAGTTAATATAATTCTAGATATGTTTTTATCCACTGATCTGTTTACTAAGGTGGTATTTGTATAAGTTTTCATACATAAAACAGAATTTTGACGATGAAATCCAAACGATTACAGAGCGAAAATTTAATGATCAAAAAAAATTGTAATCATTAAATTTGATGAACAATTTTTGAACTATAAACATCAGTCAAGTGACTGATTTGACATACCCTCGATCTGCCCCTGGGCATGCATGTTGATGAAACTTTTATGTATTTAAAAAACTAACATCATTGTACCTCATGCAGCTGATAGACAAAAGATTAGTCATGAATAAAAACTGTTGTAAAGCTCATGTATCTATATGTTTTATCATTGGTATACTTAGCACAACATTTGTACGGTAGTACCTCTTTGTTTTAACATAATCTAACTTATTTTCTATAGATCAATGAGTTTATATGATGCATAGGATTTTCAATCAAGCAAAATGCATAGGGAAAAATCCGCAATATAAATATTTGATACATTTAAGGCTATAGGATTCATTGCTCGAAAAGCATTATTTTTTTGTCATTGAACGAATTGTAGGTGTTTGTAAGACAATTTCAGCGAGTTATGTGCACTAATCTTAAAGAAATGGCTCTATCTCCACCGAGAGTCTCTTTTATGAATTGAAAGAGCTACCGGACGCAAAAAAAGACAATGCAAAATGCAATTGCTCTTGTGTAAAAAGGGATTCGTTACGCGGATAAGTAGTTGGCTGTTTTTCGTCGGCAAAACTTGAAATTTTTACAGCACTGACCAATATAGTACACGGTACACCGTCCATAAAGCTCTTATTCTTAAGTCTTTGCCATGGAAGATACATATGTGATTAAAAACTCGAGGTAAAACCTTGTTGATCAACAACATCTCGCCCATAATTGTCTTTGAGAAGCTAAGCCGCCATTGACCACTGATCTGGCCATTGACCAATAAAATAAGCGTTTTTGACGTTCATAGACTCCTTTATCCGTCGAACAAGTCAAGCCACCCCGCTTATCAGTCGGTTATTCCAGGTCGATTAAAATTCAACTGATCTGGTTACCAACGAGATATTCATTGTTAGTCATTAGTTTTCAATAAAAACTGTGTTTTGAAAAGTTCACTTATGCTCCATAGCATAGTTAACTTTAACTACCTTTTAACTGCAGTTAGCGCTAACTACTTTTTTTTACAACCGACTTAACCGTGTGGTTAAATTTAACTACTTTTTAAATGCAAAAGTGCCGTTAAAAAGGAGTTAAGAGCTTTATACAACCGGCCCCAGTTCGCATAAATAATTGTGACACTGTAGTTGCATAAACCTTATAACTGTTGGGCTTTAATAGCATTTTGTTTTATACCGTGCTCGTACAGGCTGATATAATGTGTTAGATATTTCGCTGTCCATGTGCTTACTAAATCATAGCCTTTAAATCTCATGTGGACTTCGTCATGACGTCACTGGTGACGAAATAAAATTTAAATTAATTGAGACTTACCTGTAACTTTAAGTGTGGTTTTATGAGTCATTGGTGGAAGTGCGCAACCACATGCCCGACCCATTACAAGGTTATTTGGCCCACCCAGGTACATTATTGGTGGCCATCTCTTCCGCGTTTCAATTCTGATATGAGCAGGCGTGTGACTCCGCACTCCGACCAGTGATTCATAAAACCATACTTAAACTTAAACTTACAGGTAAGTCTCGTTTTATTTAAATTTTTCGTGCAAGTTGAGGCGCGAGGCCATGGGCCGAATCGCAATAAATCGTCTAGAAATAACATCGGCATTCGTCCATGTAGGGACCATCTGAATTTTACAGCATAGGTAGTTTATATTATATTTATCCTTTCCCGAGGGTATGTCAAATCTAAAAGTTGCACATTAAGGAGAAATCCGCCATCTTGAAACAAAAATCGCTACGTTTCATACATAATATAAATCCTAACACAGTTTATTTTACATGCACATGAAAAACATGTTGGCAAACAAGTAAACAAGTAACAAGTGAGCAAAAAAGTAAACA